CAGGCATAGGTCTAGAAAAGCAAAAAAATAAATAAAAAATGGCGCCCCATTGGGTAAAGCGATCTAAAGTTTGGCTTCATTTTAAGGAAGAGATAGATGGCAACAAGACGCTTTGGTATCATCGCAAAGTAGCAATTACATCCAACATGCAGAAACACCTGCGCACACAACATGGCATACATTTTAACAAATGCCGTGTGGCTGTGCTTAATCTGGTTCCTAGTAAATCATATGCCATTTCTGGCATAAACCAATTTCCTACCTCTCTTTGGGCTTATTAAGGGAGCGTGTCTTTCTTGTTAATCCAGCCCTTCTTTGCTAGCATGTTTAATTAGAACTACTGGTAGCTGGAATTCTTACATTGATTCTTGCTATTGCTATGGATGTAACGAAACATGGTGTGAAATTTTGCCCCGCGTTCAGGGAGCGAGAGAAAGGTGACACTCGTTTATTTAAATTGTACTGTAATGCTTTTTCATTAAACTGAATCGATAAGGAATGGAATCATTTTGCAGAATTGATAAGGGAATCGGAATCATGAAAATCTTATCAACTCCAACCCTAGACGCCATAAGGAGTATTTTAGTAAAAGGGCAGAACAGATGATATATTTGGTAACTGTGCAACCTCCATGTCATGAGCTCCAGTATTTTAAGACTCTGAATCGATTCCTATTTCTGTTTTCAATGGGACAACTTTGGATGTCATGAACACTTCAGCTAGCCGTTCTGTAATTTCCTCAACGCTCCTGTGCTTGTTTCCGCAGGTTACCTGGCGTATGAGTTTGATAGGTTCTGGGTTGCCGAAGAGCCGGAGAGCATCATGCTCTTCAACCAGTACAGAGAGAGGTTCCACAGCATAGTGAAGACCCGGCTGCAAGACCCCGCCGTGTCTCTGACACTAGCTCCTCATTAACGGGATCCAACACCTTCTGCGCCCGCGTACGTCCCGGTTCCATCTGGGTGAAGCAGAGAGACAGCAGGTGCCTGTCCCTGCTGGGGAAGAAGTCAGGGTCACTTTCCTTAGTGGTTCTCAGCCTGTTTTATCTCAGTCCAGCACAATTGTCAGTCCCAAACCTCCAGAGATGGACCATTCCAGCGACTGCCGACAGATGAGAGCTGCTGAAGACTCAGGTAGAGATGATGATCCGTGAGGCTTTAGGCACCTTTACTGATCAGATTTTCACACTTCAAATGTAAAAACCTTTGATCTTGTGTTTAAACTCCACCCCTTGGCTCCTTTTATCCTCAGGTTGTTCATAAAACTCAATGGTGGTTCATTATCTCTCCTTATTGATGTTGTGTAGGAGTGATGCTTCATGACCCGTTTTCATGTAGTTTTATTTCCAAAGACTGAATGTTTTATTGTTATTTAATTTTATGCTCTAGTTTGTATTCGTTGAGGATTGGCCATGACTAACGAAATAAATCTGGAACCTGAAACGAAAGCTGTCTGTGTGGTTCAAAGGGAAAAATGTGATAACAGGTATGCTAAGAACAGGAGGGGTGGCTGTTTTTCTATCTCTCCACATTCCTCTACAAACAATGACAAATGTTCCTCCTATTGACAAATCTGACACCTCCTCCATTTGTAAACAGTTATGAGATTGAAAACATCTCTACTAATAACCTGGATCAAACAGGGTTTATCATTATAGTTTGAAACGTTTGTTTAATATCACACATTTTGTTAAATAAAAACATTCCATAAGTGTAGCAGCATCACTGAATTCTGACAAGGCATTGATATGAATGGAAATGTTTGTTTATGGTCCTTCAGAAATGAGGTTTTGGTTAATGGATATGATATAGTCTACATCTCTACAGTTAATAACAATGGGGTGACATCTGGTTGG